TTCAAACTTCATCCTCAGAAAATAATAAGCTGCATCTTGATACCTAAAATAGTGACTTATACATATTAGTGCTTAATAAATATTGCTGGGTAAATTCCTGCACAGAAATGTAGATGATTTTCATTTTACCCTATAAGCTAAATTCATTTATTATAAGAGTTTCCGAGTAATTAATAAATTTATTAATATAAATTAATAAAAATTAATATATAAATTAATATAAATGACCTGCTTTTATTGTACTTTCATTTAGCAGGTAATGTATTTCATGTCAATTCTTAAAGACTGTAAAAATAATCTGCTATTCTTTATTTCTTTTATTATTTTTATTATTTTTTAATGGTTTCATGAGTAGAATTTAGTGATTCATCACTTACATATTATACCCAGTATTCATCCCAACAAGTGCCCTCCTTCACACCCATCCCCATTTAGCTGGCTCCTCCAGCAGCCCTCAGTTTGTTGTCTGTCTAATAGTCTTTTACAGTTTGCCTCCCTCTCTGGTTTTGTCTTATTTTTCCTTCCCTTCTCCATGTTCATCGGTTTCGTTTCTTAAATTTCACATGTGAGTGAGACCATACATTTGTCTTTCTCTGACTGACTTACTTCCCTTAGCATAATACATTCCAGTTCCATCCACATTGTTGCAAAATGGCAAGATTTCACTCTTTTCAAGGTTTATAGCAGCATTATCAACAATAGCCAAATTATGGAAAGAGCCCATCTGTCCATGACTGATGAATGGAGGAAAAAGACTTATATATACACAATGGATTAGCAATCAAAACGAATGCTACTTTTCATTTTTATTTTAACTTAACTCTAACTGAACAATGACTAGACTTTTTAAAATATTTAGTAAACTATTTCATGATTATAAATATTTCTAACATATGATTCTTTTCAAAGCAACCTAATCCTTCAAAACTATTTTTGGGGGCAACTGGGTGGCTCAGTCGGTTGAGCGTCTGACTCTTGATTTTGGCTCAGGTCATGGTCCCAGGGACACAGAATAGAGCCCCACATCAGGCTCCACGCTCAGCTTGGGATTCTCTTTTTCTCTCTCTGCCCCTCTCCCTCCAAAATTAAATAAATAAATAACATAATTTTGTGTAATTTTTCCTAATTCGTAATTTTTATGCCTCTACAAATCATTGTTATATAATAGTTTAATTGTGGTTATTTAAAAATATGAACACAAACTATTGGGTAATCCCCCCTCCAGAAGATGGAGCCAAATTCCTTCCACTCGAATGTGGGGTGGATTTATGACTCACTCCTAGAGAGTAGAATGTGACAGAATTGATGAAATGGGGTTAGGTCATAAAGACAGTGTAAAATCCTTCTTGCTCTCTCTCAAATCTCTTGCTCAGGGAAGAAGCCAACTGTTACATTAGAAGGACACTCCAAGAATTCTCTGGAGAGCTCCATGTAGCAAGGAATTTAGACCTCCTGACAGCAAACCACAAAAAAAAGGAGGCATTCTTTTCCCAGTTAGCTGAGTGAGATATTTTGGAAATGAATCCTCCAGTCCCAATCAAGTCCAGTTAGTTCTAACATAACTGCACCTCATACTGGAGTTTTGACTTCATGAGAGACTCTGAGCTAGATCCCCCCAGTGGATGCTGGAAACTGCAGATAGTACCAAACCCCACATATGCTATTTTCTTCCTATACATACATAGCTACGATAAAGTTTAATTTATATGCACAGCAATAAATAATAATATAATAGAACAATTATAGTGATAGACTATAATAAAAGTTTTGTGAATGTAGTCTCACTCTCGCTTTCACTCTCATAATATCTTATTGTCCAGTACTCATCCTTCTTCTTAGGAGGATGCGAGATGATAAAATGCCTACATGATGAGATAAAGTGATATAAATGGCGTAGGCATTGTGACATAGCATGAGGCAACTATTGGTCTTCTGACAATCCTTGTGAAGGAGGATCATTTGCTTCCAGTCTGCAGTTTACTGTGGGAAATGGAAAAGCAAAGGAAACTGAAACCTGGGAAAGAGAAACCAAACATTAGAGGGCACTACACTGCTTGCAGTGGCTACTAAGTAGAGGAGACTTCCACCTTTGCCCCATAAAGAACTCAGGTTGGTCCTTCTAAAATATCATTATGGTCACCTTATCATACTCTTAAAAGATCTAAATTCTTGAACATCTCCAACAAAGTCCTGCCAAATCTGTCCTCTACCCTCTTTTCAGCTCCCAGTCAGCCCTTGCACATTGACTACCTAGCTTGTCATCAGGACTTTGTACTTAATTCTGCCTTGAAAATCTTTCTTCCAGATATTCACACATGGCTCATTCCTTCACTTCATTTACATCTGTTTAAAGATTACTTCCTCAAAGAGCACGTCCTTGAGCAAACAATCTAAAAAATGCTGCCTTTATCACTTGCTTGATTTTATTAAATATATATGTCATTACTTGACATTGCTTTATATGCTTGTTTCATTATTTGACAGGATATATTTATCTTATTTATTATTTATCTCTTAACTAGAACATGAGTTCTAGCAATGCAAGGACCTTGGCTTATCATTCTAACTTCATTGCTTAGAACAGTAACTATACATAAGATGGGTGCTCAATAAATATATTTTACTTAAAGGATCATGTGGATGAATCACTTTAATTAATAAGTAGTGAATAATAATTGATATTTAGTATCCTGTTTTATCCAATTTTTCCTGTTATGAGCAATTATGTCATGAATATGTGCATAAGTAAATGTATACACCCTATATTTGTTTCCTAAGATCTAGGAGTCAAAAGAGATGATTATTTTTATGGTTTTTTAATACACATTGCCAAACAGCCCTCCAAGAAAGGGTTGTTATATTTTATCCCACTCTGGAATGAATGACAGCGACTTTCTTCTTACATTGACCCACAATGTACACTTTCCTTTTTAAACATTGTCATTTAAATAGGGGAAAGATAGTTATTAAATTTTCCTTTCTACTGAAAGGGTAGACTTTTTTTCATATAATTATTATCCATTTGTATTTTTTTTTACGACTTGCCTTTTCATGTTCTTTGCTTATATTTCTACTGAATTACCCTTACTCTTGCTAAGTGCTCTTTTTTCAAATAAAATGACTCATTTTTTCTTTTAATTTTTATTAATATGTTTCTTTTTTATTTCCTTATAGAAAAATAAATTTTTTGTGGTCAAATTGATTAGTCTTTCCCTACAAGGTTTTTGACTTAGCTGTCGCTTTTAGGAAGCTTACCAATTTACTATTTGAAAAATAATCACCTATTGTTTTCTCCCAATATTCAACCTTTTTAAAAATAAAGAAAAAATATGATACATTGCAGCTGCAATTTAGACGGGGCTGGGGGGGTTAGCTTTGAGGCCGGCTATTATTGTTCTTTCCCCTCAACTCACTGGCTACCCAGCTGTCCTTTTACTAACTCATCTTTTCTTCATTGATACGGATGTGAAATCACGACGTTATTGTTTTTTATCTTAAAAGGGCGCACACACACGCACACAGGCCTTTTGGTCTTCTTTTAAGAAACAAGTTTTAGACCTGAGCCAATCTCACCTTTAATCCAATCATTTCTAAGGAACAGAGAAATATTTTTATTGCCATTCTCAGTAATTAATTTGATATAAGTTGCCCAGTAATTTGTACTACTCGAGTAATACTGGCTACATTTATTAAAGGAGACACTCCATACACTTGCCTAAGCCACATATCAACCCAATTTAAGAACATCAATCCCCTCAACATGAAGTTATCACTTTAAAGAAAGGGTCTCGTCTGGAAGATTAGGAATAGCACGCTACGATTCTCTTCTGAAAGCCCTCGGAATCCTGGGCGTCCAGTGGGAAAGAACAGACACAGAAGAACCCATGGAAGCCTTGATCAGATCTAGACAGAGCGACTCTGACCAAAAAGCCCATGGAGCTGATGCAAACAGGTAGTAGAGGACTCTATTCAGAAGTCCTCTTAATTGGTCAACTAGGGTCACAATTTTGAATAATATCACTGGGCTTTAAATACACGGAGTGATTCAGGTGTACCGAAAAAAAAAAAAAAAAGACATGAAACTATTTAAACTTGTTTTGCGGCCTTAGAAAAAGCAAAGTGCTTAATTCCTAAATCCCGAAAGCAGTTTACATTCTTGGGGAGCGCGGAGAGGAAGACGGTGTTCTCCGTCCATCGTCTTTTAAAATGCTTGGTCTAGAGGTCCATAGTACCTGTGCTTTCACAGGTAAGAAACAGCTGTCTCAACAGATTATAGCTAAAGCGGCAAGATCGCGAAGCGAAGCTAGAGGGAGCATTACCAACATCCCACAACTCTAACCTCTAATAGCTCTCTTGGAGTGGGTGAGGCGCTAGACCAATAAGGAAAAGACAAGACCTAGATCTGAGGCCATCGGGTGCAGCAGGGCATTTGCAACTGGGCATTTCTGGCTGGGATCTCAGTGAGCTCCAGCAACGCGATTGTCCCTCGATAAAAAATTTTTTTAAAAAAGTCTTTATTCGGGGCGCCTGGGTGGCTTAGTAGGTTAAGCGTCCGACTTTCGCTTGGGTCATGATCTCGCGGTTTGTGGGTTCGGGCCCCGCGTCGGGCTCTGTGCTGACTGCCAGCTCAGAGCCTGGAGCGGGTTTCAGTCTGTCACTCCCTCTCTCTCTGACCCTCCCCTGCTCACGCTGTCTCTCTCTCTCTCCTAGAAATAAATAAAACATTAAAAAAAAATTTAAAAAAAAAAGGCTTTATTCGTCCTCCGCTCACACAGGCGGTCCCTCCCACTCCGATTCCTTTACGGCATCTCTTTGGTACGTGTTCCATTAACCCACAGTCATCTTCCCACCTCCTCCAAACACCGATAGTTTCAAGTCATGGCACTAGGTTGCCGCCGCGTCTCCCTAGCAACCCTCGGCCTCCAGACCACCGGAAAGGGATGGGATCACGTGCTCACCAAATTTCCGGGTTTGCAAAGTGACTTCCGGTTGTCAGATTTCCCCAGACGCGGCGCCGGCCAGGAAGAAGCCGTGTGGCCCGAGGTCGCGGTGGCCTTAGTGGTGGTGGGCTCCGGGGGGCCTCGCCTCATCCTGCCCCGTCTGCGATGCACCCGCGGCGCCCGGACGGATTCGATGGCTTGGGCTATCGAGGCGGTGCCCGAGATGAGCAGGGCTTTGGCGGCGCTTTCCCTGCAAGGTCCTTCAGCTCCGGGTCGGACTTGAGCCACTGGGTGACCACTCCCCCAGACATCCCCGGTAGCCGCAACCTGCACTGGGGTGAGAAGAGCCCGCCCTACGGCGTACCCGCCCCCTCCACCCCACTCGAGGGCCCCGCGGAGGAACCGTTTCCCGGCGGCAGCAGCGACGGCGGCGGCGTGCCGGGGCAGAGCAGCGGTGAGGGACGTGGGAGCAAGGCAGGGGTGGGTAGAGCGGCGGGGCGGTGGCTCGCGGCCTGCAAAGCGCGGAAGCCGCGCGGAGGGTCCCGCCTTCGGTGCCGCGGAGCCTATCGCGCGCCACACCCTCTGCCCTCCTTTCGTCCTCTGCCCCCTGCAGCGGGCATGCTGCCTCTTCCTTGCAGAAACCTTTCCTCCGGGATCACCTCCAGAAAAGACACCTGCCTTAGCTCTGGTCTGCGTAGTAGGAGTTTCGAAGGGTTTGGGTGTATTCCATCCCGTGGCCTAAATCAAGAAGGAAGGAAGTTATTTACTGTTCAGTGGGAATTATGTGAACAGTGACCTAATTCACTGACAGTTTTATTTCTTTGAATTAATTCATTGTAGCTTTGTGTTCTAGAAAGAAGTTTTTCAGCATTAACAGGCTTGGATTCAAACCTGGCTCTATTTAAGTGTTAAATTCTGTTAAACAGAATGAGGTGTTAAGTAATGCCTAGTACAGTACAGAGCACATAGGAAGCTAAAAGGTAATCCTTTCCTTCCTTTTTTCTCTTTTTTAAACATAGGAATTGTGTCTATTTTCTAGACTGTCAAACTACTGCTATGTTTTCCCACCTCCTGCTTTCCTATTTCTCACCTAAAAACTCCCCTAAAGAGTAAAAAACACTGAGACCATTTCAAGACATTGGAATCAAGACCTAATTATTCTCTGCAGGATGTCAGAAGACCAGTGTTATAATTGCAATACTGTGATTTAAATATTCTCAACTTCTTTTCCATTCATAAAATGGATATAATAACTGCCTCTCCCCATTTCGAAATCATTAGGATAATAGGCTAGATCATTAAATATTAAGTATATTCTACATATATTTATTCTCATTTCTTTGATTTTAATTTGGAAGTACGACAGTTTTGTTTGATTTAACTGGGAGGAATAGAAGAAGATCCATGACTTACACCGTGTCAAACAGTTTGATTTTTCACCCTGTTTAGTTTTCTTTCTCTAGGTCCCAAAAGGAGTACTGGAAAGTTAAAATTAAATAATTCAAAATGCATATATTTGCCACACAGTCACCTTCTTAGGCAGTAAAGCTGGGGTTTTTATCTTTTCATAATTTATGCCTTGATGACAATGAGGAGGAACTCTTAATAAAACCAAGGAAGTGTTTTGCAGCAGTAAGAAGCTGGCGATGATAACTCTGCAAGAATAGAAGATAGACTTACACAGTTAACAAAAATAAACCTTTCTAGAAAACACTTTCCAGAAAATATCAGTGGCATTTTGTGTTAATATAGGGGATGGTCTATACACACAAAAAGGGAAAAGCTGAAAGGAGAAAGAAAGTATCTCAGTTGGCAAAAGAAACTTCCATGTGGCTTGTACTTTTTTCAAGGCAAGAGCTAACCACATAGTTACCCCAGGGACCTGTTTACACGGCCTTATTCTAACTAACAAAATAGTGAGGGTATTGCTTCATTTGAAAGAGCAGAGAGGAGAGACAGAAAAGAGGATGAGATAAAACTATCCCTTGTGGATACTGTATTATAGAAATTTAGTATCTAGTCCCTTGAAGTTGTGATATTTTACCGTCATGATTTTGAGTTGTTTAGCCAAGGAGAAATTTTTTTGTTTTGACATAAGCATAGGAATGTTTCCAGCTGTAAACTCTTCTGATAAGATGATAGAAATGCCATCAGCAATAGCACTTATGTATACAGTAGCCCGTTACAGAGTACTAATTAAGCAGCTATCCTCAAAGTATTTAAAACTTGGGGAGAGAGAAAGAAGCCTTATTTACCCCTTTTGATTACCCTAAGTACTCTTTTAATACTTTTGAGGTGCTTCACTTAGGACTGTTGGTTCAACATAGATGCTTTCCACCAATAACAATAAATGGATAATTTTATAAGATGGGAGGTAAAGTTGTTTTCTGATATAGTATCAATCAGAACCTTCTTTAGAAAAAAAAATTAAATTATTTGTAGTTAGAAGTTGAAAACTGGTAGTTCACAGATCCTACCTGTAGACATGTTTGATTGGCCCACCCAGGGTTTTAGTGCTTTTAAAAATAGTTGCCAATATTTTAAAATTGGAAGATACTATGTAAAAACGAGAATACCTTTTTAGAAAAATAACAGTTAAGAAACCTTTGGGGGGCGCCTGGGTGGCTTAGTCGGTTAAGCGTCCGACTTTCGCTTAGGTCATGATCTCACGGTTCGTGGGTTCGAGCCCCGCGTCGGGCTCTGTGCTGACTGCCAGCTCTGAGCCTGGAGCCTGTTTCAGAGTCTGTGACTCCCTCTCTCTCTGACCCTCCCCTACTCATGCTGTCTCTCTCCTAGAAATAAATAAAACATTTAAAAAAAAAATTAAAAAAAAAAAAAAAGAAACCTTTGGCCTACTGTCCCACATGTCAACAATGAATTGGAGCTGAAGAGTGGTTCTGCCTTGTAACTTCCCGCAATTTCCCTGGCCCATATCAGAATTTGACTTGGGGACGGGGAACTTAAATAAATATTGTGTTAATAAAATATTTTTTTACAGTAAACTTAAATACTGGTTATAAGTAATGTTATTTCTTCTTTTTTAGAGCAGTTAAATAGATTTGCTGGATTTGGTATTGGCCTTGCAAGGTAATGTTTTATGTAAAGATTTTTAACTTAAGTTTTTATTTCAAGTGTTTTCTGTAATATAATTTATAATAGCAAATGATTAGTTTGATATTATGTTGTTTCCTTTCGATTCTTTGGAGCAGTAGATTAAATGTTAAGTAATATGTTACAGAAAAATTATTATATAAAATCTACGACTTGATTTGTTTCGAGTAAGAAAACAGTCACTCAATTTTGTAATCACAAAGTAATTTTATAAGTTATATTTTAACAACTTTCCTGTGTCTATCCAAAAAAATCTGATCTAATCTCCTCCTTCAAGACAAAGTAATTTTGCACTGAAACTCTCCCTAAACATTCTAAATATAATATGATATTTAGCAACATAGAGTCTAGGTTTTGCTTACAATCAGCATTTAATGAATGCCGTTATTTTTTTTTTATTTTTAATGATCATTTTGTGAAGGAATAGACCCCAATCTTGACCATGTGATTTTTAGTGAATATTATTTCAAATACATCAGAATTGCACAGAGTTATATTGCATACCAGAATAACTCATTGTTTAAAAATTTTAATCAAGAAAAAAATCTTACTTGCATAACTAAACCTGAGAGCATTAATGTAAATAGGAGCAAAACAGTATTAAAGTTTTCTTTCTGCTGAAGTTAATTTTTCTTTAGCCTCACTATTTATACTTAAAGCTGTTGTTCATTTGTTGTATTATTTATATATATGCGTGTGTGTGCATACCTGCTTGTATGTTTGTCATTGTTAGTTTTTGAGCCCATAGTTGTAATTATTTTGTGGGGATGCTTTCAAACAAATATTTGATACCCAAAATAGTAGTCAATTTACAGTCATTAAAATCCCTATAACTTAAATGTAGTGTACCTCAAAACTAAAATATATAGAATGGGGTTAATGAAGAAGATAACACTTCTGAGAAGAACTTTGTTCCTAGAACATTTTCTGAAAAAAATGGAAAGGACCATTTAAGTTGTCTAGGAAAGGAGTTTCCCAAATCAGGCGTATGGAGATGTAGTTTCATCTTTAGACTATACATACTAATATTCTATGTTATTTCCTTCACTAACCAGTTTGCAGATCTGGCTTTAATTCTTTTCATATTGAGTTTTGTTATTGGTGGAATGATTTGCAAGCATGTCTAGACTTTTTTTTAGTTATTATTTTTTACTTTTAGAATATATATGTGTGTGTATGTGTGTATATATGTATATAAATATGTGTATGTATATGCATGTATATATAAATTATTCTTTCATAGTCTCTTTACAGAAAATGTACTGGCCCATCCTTGCATTGTTCTGCGCCGCCAATGTCAGGTAAGTGTACTTTTTTTTGACCTTCTAAACAGTAATACCGACTCTGATTTAAAATACAGAGCTCAGATAAATGGCTGAGACTATGTAACCTTTATTCCATGTGAAATGTACCAGAATCTTCAATATACCAGTCTCAAACATCTTGGTTTTGAAAAGCCCTAAGTCGTAAAAATTATTGAGGTCTCCAGAGAACTTTTGTTTATGTGGATAATATCTATCAATCAATATTTACCATTTCAGAAATCAAAACTGGGAAAATTTTAATATATATTTCTTCACTTCATTAAAAAGTAATAAACCAATGGGTTTAACTAATATCTAGATATTACGAGATGTTAATATAAATAACAATTTTATGAAAAAATAGCTTTTATTTTTTTGTAAATATCTTTCCTATCTGACATAATAGAAGACAACCAAATTTTCATATCTGCCTGTGTAGTCAAATCTGTTGAAGTACATTGGTTTTGAAAGAAGAAAAGTCTAATCTTGTACACATATGTATTTGAAAATGCAGTGTTTTATCTTTTTCAGATAATTGGCAGATTTTCTTGTTTGTTAGTATACCAAAATTTAATAAGTAGTAATGTATTTAAGGTTATTTGCAACAAGAAATCTGAAATCATATTAAGTTACCCTTTTGTACTCTAACATTAAAATCTATTGACCTATACTTCATGTTGAATTTTTATCCATCTATAGTTTTGTAACATCGTGTGTTGATTATTTGAAAAATACTAATTTACTGACTTCTGTAGAGCTTCTAAATGTTCAGATATCTGATTACACTATATTTTTAAAAAAATCATCATTGAATCACTACTAATCCCACCAGAAAAGTGTTCCAGTATTGCTAAGTTCTTGATGGTAGATGCAGGTTTTCCAGAATTCTAATTTTTGCTTGTGAAATCAAATTTATCATTGGCAACACATAGTGTCAGGTTTTTTATAAAATCAACAGGCCCACTTTGTGCATTTTTAAAAACATGTCTTTTCTCGGGGCACCTGCAGTCAGTTAAGCATCTGACTCTTGGTTTCAGCTCAGGTCATGATCTCACAGTTTCGTTGAGTTTGAGCCCCGCATAAGGCTGTGCGCTGACAGTGTGAAGCCTGCTTGGGATTCTCTCTCTCTCTCTCTCTCTCTCTCTCTCTGTCCCTCCCCTACTCACACTGTCTCTGTTTCTCTCAAAATAAAGAGATAAACTTAAAAAATAAATAAAAACATGTCTGTCTGTCAGTTTTTCCAGAAGAAATGGTGTTGCATGAAAAAAGTGGCTAGTTCAGCTTGCAACTCCATCAGACAAGTGTTTTTCCTCAGAACAGCCATAAACCATCTTACTTCATGATGCGCCACACAGAATATTAATTAGAAATATATATATTCAAGGATCAAGGTTTTATAAAATTAATATATTTTACTGTTTCACCACAGACATTCTTTAGTTAAAGTGGCTTTTTCCTCCTTCCAAGTGAGTGGGATGAAGACTACAAAATGTACAGAAATACAGTTTGCTTCCAACTGCCTTGATTCATGCTAGGGAGTTAGCAATTTTACCCACCATTGTTTTACATTATTATTGAAAATATCAACACAGTTTTTTAAAAAATGATGCCTTAGTGTCATTAAGAAAATAATTTTGAACTTGTACATCTCCTGAAAGAACCCAGGGGATAAATGGACAGCACTGGTAAAAGCTCTTTTAACCTAACTTAATCTTCTGTGAAAATTGAGTTAGAAAGATATAATTACAAATTAAGCTGTTCATGCTTAGAACCAAAAAAAAAAAAAAAAAAGTCATTAACAGCACGGACAGTGTGTATCCCCTAAAACAGTGGATTTCAGACATACGTCTTACAAAGCCGTAGTATCACATCGTGACCTACTATGTACATCTATATGAGTAACTTTAAAAAATATTTTATGAAATATTACCATTACAATGTTTGATGCATTCTCATACATTCTTTTTTGTTATTTCACTTCATAAATATTATTTCTGACCCCCTTTACTGATTTCTTAATTTACCAATTGTTTATAGCTTATAGCATGAAAAATCCTAGCTATCAGGAGACATGAATCTCCCATTTCCTGAGTTCTTCATGGTTCCTGTGTGTTGAAAGGCATGAATGTTTTGCCACACAGAATGTATTTCTAGTGTTTATGGAAACATGTCAAGCAGCATGGGCTTCTTTATCATATATCTACATTACTGTGTATACTGCGCATTGTTTTTCTGGGTTGTATATATACATGACTATATGTACTGCTGATAAGTTATTTCATGTACTTTTAAAAGTAGTAGTTTTGTTTATGTGTAATTACTGATGACTTTAGAATTAAACTTTTCTTTATACTGTGACTCGATTGTATATCTTTCATGGCTTGGTTATTTCTCGACAAAACAATAACAAAAAATAATTACTAAATATTTTTTCCATAGGTTAATTATCATGCTCGGCATTACCATCTCACTCCATTTACAGTCATCAATATTATGTACAGCTTCAACAAAACTCAGGTAAGAATTAGTCTATAGGTTCTATATAAAGTTATTTATAATGTAAGTACCGTTTGGTCTTTGTAATAAAGCAAGAATAATTTCTTTTAACTTAGTTAATAAAAATATTTTATCTCTGGTACTAAAACTTAATGTAACATGGTAATGACATCTTTTGATGTCATTGAACAACGAATGAATTCACATCTTTGCCAAAATTAATTAAATATTAGAGATTTAGTTAATTGGAGTGTTCATATTCGCCTAAATGTAAGCCACTCGATGAATGCTAAAATGATAGGAGTTAATGTAATTGTAGTTCTTTACTAAGATGTCTTAGAATAATGCCTTATTTGCATACGTCAGTAAGCATTCAATATCAAGTTTTATTAAAACCTTTTCTGTGTTTCTTATTTAGGCACTAACAGAAATAACAATACATTTTGTTCATTTTAGGGACCAAGGGCCCTTTGGAAAGGAATGGGCAGCACGTTTATTGTCCAGGGAGTCACTCTTGGAGCAGAGGGAATAATCAGTGAATTCACACCTTTACCAAGGTACTTTTTTGGCATCCTCTCAATATTAGTTTCATATTAAATTTTGACAAAATATGATAGTTTCTAAAAATACCTTGACTTTGAAAACTTGCCTGAAGTAGCTAAGAAAAGAAACAGACTAAAATTAGTTCTATCTTATTGAATGAGTATGTGATAAAGAAAATGCTTCCTGGTCTAGTATCTATTGAGATGGGTCTTTCAGCTCCTGCTGCTGTTTCAGCAACTGTCTACTGAGGAACAAACATGAGCACATGAGCAGTTCTTACTGTTGAAGTAGCCACTTGGGTAAAGGAGACACGTGTTAGCAAATTATAGTACATCATGATTAGTGCTATGCTTAAACAGACTGCTTCCAGTGCCCAAGGGACACTGCATGAAGTTGTTGGCAAGAATTTCAACAAAAGGTGAAATCTGAGCTATATCTTGAATTATGAGTAGGAATTGATTTGGCAGAGAAGAGGAGCATTCCAAGTAGAGGTGACAGCAAACCCAATTTAATGGTAGTCGGAAGGTCTGGGTAATAAATGTCTTGTGCTTAGAATAATGGGTATTTATGGAGTGGAATAACAGTAAGAGAAGCTGAGAGGCTAGATTGAAGTGTGGTTGTACCTTTGTAAGGGACTGTGGCTTTATTCTCTATGGAGTTGGGAATCTAAGGTGTTTGTTTTAGTTTACGGTTCTTTGATCAAGGATTTACTCAACTGACAGTGTTAAAAAGCTGGGGCGGGTACTGGTGTAGCCGGAGACTTGCGAAGAGCTGTTACAGTAATCTAAGCCAGACTGAGAGGTCAGAAGTGTGGACTGGAACAGAAAGGGATGAACGGGATAGACAGGTATTTTTTTTTATTATTAATCTATTTATTTTGAGAGAGAGACAGCACGAGTGGGGAAGGAGCAGAGAGAGAAGGAGAGAGAGAGAATTCCAAGCAGGCTCCTTACTGTCAGCACAGAGTCTGGTGTGGGGCTCAAACTCATGGAACCATAAGACCATGACCTGAGTGGAAACCAAGAGTCATATGCTTAACCGACTGAGCCACCCAGGCGCCCCTGGATAAGTTTTCTGATAAATCCCTATCATTAATTCATGTAGTTATTTAGCTGATGTTTCCTAACTACTTACTATGTGCTGGGTCCTGTGCTGGAAATCAGGTATATAGTAAAGAGAAGAAACAAAAGGTACCTGAGACCATGAAGCTTAGAATCTAGTAGTATAAGAGATATTTGTTAAGTAAAATAATCCCTTTAATGAATAAATAACTACAAATTGAGATTTGTTCCCTGAAGAAAAAGAAAAGGATCCCTGAAGGTGTTAAAGGATTAGGAACAGTGTCCCTAATAAAATAACACTTAAGCTGACATTTGAATGGTGATTAGGAGGCTGAGGCCCATTTGTGTGAAGACACTATCACAAGGGGAACATGGAGAATTCAGGTAACTGAGAGAAGGCTCATATGGCCTTCTCAGGGAGCAAAAGGGAGAGCAGTGTAACAATGCTGAAGAGGGAGGTGAGACCCAGGTGTAGGACCTTATAGGCTACTTTAAGGATATCGAAGAGTTTTAGGTCAATGACGTGGCCTAAAGACATGAAGGGAGGCCAATGACATGATCAGATTTATGTTTTTAAAGGGTCATTGCAAATGGAGAGGAAAAGATTGGAGGAGGAACCAAAGTAGATAAAAGGATACACGTTCACATGCTATAACATTAATCTAGGTGACAAATAACAGTAGCTAACACCATAGGGTAGCATCTTTTGACATGGATCTAAGTGGATACTTTGGCAATATATTTAGGTAAAACTGATGGAACTTGGTGATAGACTCGGGACGGTAGGTGATAGAGGAGGAGCTGTCCTCCGTGACTCCTAGGATTTTGGCTTGTGTAACCAGATGTTCTCTGAAGTACAGTATATATATATATATCTTTTAATTCTAACTTTTTGGGGGCAAGGTTGACCTTTCTTGGGGGAAAGCTAAGTCATAGCAGACAAGGCCATAACCCATAGAGTAGTAACCCATAGAGATTCACAGAACCGATTCACATGAGGGAAATGAGCTTGGGGATCTCCTAGACTGAGGTGCCTTAGCTGCATAGCAATCACTAGGTGGAACAGGTAAAGACAGTATGGGTTCACCAGTATTTAGACTTTTATACTCATTTTGATCACTTCTGAGAGAAAAAGAGCAAATCTGTAGTGTCCATTAAGTCACCAAGCTTAGAGTTTTGTGCTATTCTTTAAAAAATATATATATATAACCTAGGATTATCATCTGTGATCTCTCTTTATCTAGTGCCCAGATCCCTCCTTATCCTTCCACAGATCTTCTCTGAGACAGAATGAGTGAGACTATGTTACTCTACCCCGAAGTACCCTTTACTTTCATGTGGGATTTCTCATATTAATGTAAGGACCACCTGTAACCAAGACTACCTGTATAGTTTGGTCTTTCACAAAACCCATTTGGTTGACCTCCAACTCCATTTGACTCATTATTTATAGTTGTACCAATATAAATACCTAGCAGTTTCTGCTTATGTTGTCCATTTCTTGTAACCACTCCTCTGAATTCACTAACTTTGAACATATTCTATTTTAAACACAATGAAATCTTGTACCAATTAGGAGATTTCCTTTTTGATTAACAGTTGCTAAGTGGGGAACACACAAGAGTCTAAGAGTAGGAAAGAAAGATCATAAGCTTGATATTGGACAAGTTCATTTTTAGATGCTTTGCCGTATCTAAGTAGAGTTGTCAGGAGACAGATGATATACGTGGTTGACATAGAGAAATCTAAACTGAAGACAATGGATTTGGAAGGTTTTGAAGCCATCATCTTGGATGACATTGCCTTAGGAAGGAGCATAATATAAAATAAGAAGAGAGCCTGATCCTTTCAGAACTCTAGAATAGGTGGCTGGCATAAGAAAATGCTCCGGCAAAGGAGTCAAAAGTAGAGACAAGAAGGGAGGAGAAAAATCCAGAAGATTATGGGATAGTGGAATACAGCGACAGAGAAAGCTTCAAGAAGGGAAGAACCTGAGGTTCCTGATGGCCATCGAAAGGGCAAATAAGGTATATACAGCATCTAGTGCTCATCACAAGTGCCCTCTTTCTTAATACCCATTCCTCTGCCCACTTCCCTTCCAGCAACCCTCAGACTTACAAATGTTATTGGATTTAGTGATATGGAGGTAATGGGGACCTTGACAAGAGCTGTTTCTGTAGAATAATGGGGTAGAAGCCAATTTGGAGTGGGTTCAGCAGTGAATGGGGAGTTTAGGATGTGGTAATAGCAAGTTTAGAAAGTTGGCTGTGCAGAGGAAAGATGAAGATAAGTAGCCGGAAAATGGGATTGGGTGAGGGAAGATTTGTTTTTAGGAGGTCAGCTATCTGAACATCTGAAAATGAGAGGTAATGGTAAGTAAAGGCTATTTAAAAAGGTATTTAAAATTCTGTTCCTTTTGTGTATTGATTATACATGGAAGCATGTATATCAATCTGTCAGATGGAGAACTATTTTAAGAAAAGGCAAGTCATTTCTCTTAATGTTGTTGCTCTTTTTCAAGGGGAGGTTTTGCTGGTGAAAATAGTGAGTTAAATGTATTTGCCCATCTTCTAGTATTTGATAATGAAATAGAAAGAGGTATAATCACAAGTAGATTTTTATACTACTGTCTTTCCTGTAGCATTTAAATGTGCTAATTTAGATTTCTAGAGCTGTGGCAATAAGTTTTACCCACAGATACTTACTTGATTCTAAATTTCATTTTTCCCATTTTTAATAATCTTACTGATGTTAAGAATTGGCAAGTAACTAGTATTGTATACTAATACTAATAATAATTAGTATTGTATTCAAAGACGAAGTAGCCCAGCTCTTACAGAAATACAGATCACAGACCGATCTATTACGTTAGTGATGGTTTCATCCTTAAAATGTTATAATCCCTTGTGATACTTTCTGAGGCCAGGAGAAGAGTAATAGCAGTGCCCAGAGGATTTACAAACCATGTAGCATATATTGTTTTACAACCATAAAGTCACTGTCAAAAAGATGGGAAGCTTAATCTTTTTTATATTTTTCATCTAAATCATTGGTGGTCCATTTCATCTATATTTCTGTGGTTATTCAGGCCTAATATAATAGTTTTAGTATTCATTTAATCAGAATGTGAGCCAGAAGCCTCTTTAAGGTCTTCTAATCAGAGGTGGTTGGTCTGTTGTGTAGAAGTTTTTCTGCAGATCTTTCATTTTCTTAAAAAGTCCGCATACCACCTATGTTATAATTGTATTGAATTTGTTTTTAGAGGACTTATTAGTGATTATTTTCTACACCTTTTAAATATAAAATATATTTCTTTCCTACCTCCTTATATTCACTCCTTTCAAATAGCAAATGTTTTCTTGGCTTCCTGCTGAGGCTGTGGTGCAGTGAGTGCCCTTTCCCTCGGGGGAGCTCAGTTCTGATTTCACGCTTTATCTCAACACCTCCTGTTCTGCCTCACTCTCCCTTCTGCCCCCTCTCCTGCCCCTCTCTCTGCCGTGTCATTTTATTCTGCCTCCTCCCTGACTTTCCGTTTTGCTCTCATTCCATATTCTTTTCTCCTTTTTGATTAAAAACAAATTTTTTTAAATGTTTGTTTATATTTGGGAGACAGAGCATGAGCAGTGGTGGGGCAGAGAGAGGGGAAGACACAGAATCCGAAGACAGCTCTGTCAGCACAGAGCCTGATGCGGGTCTTGAACCCACGAACCATGAGATCATGACCTGAGCTGAAGTTGGACCCTTAACCAACTGAGCCACCCAGGTGCCCCTCTCCTTTTTGACTTTTCTCTTGAAATAACTTTCTCCTTTTTTTTTTTTTTTTAGCTCACCTCTCTTTCTTTTTCCTTTTCTGGTTTCCCTGGGTAACCTAAATAGCAGGAAACACAGAGTCCTCAACCTTACTTCCAGACCCGGCATTTTGACATCCTCTGATAATGTCCCTGTGGGTCTTCTTACCTTCATTTGTCTCATAAGTAAAACGAATCAGACCATCCCTGCTCTGCCTGCATCACAGGATGCCTTCTTATATCAAATGAGATAAGAGGCGGTGCAGGCAGAATATGCACACTTCAAATCCTAGAGACCAGGGTTTAGAACCCACTTCCACCACTAACTAGTTGTATGGCTTTGGGTGAGTTATAAATTCTCTCCGAGCCTACTTCCTCATCTGTGAAATGGGGATAACAGGGTCATTGTGAGGGTTAGAAATAATTCATACAAGGCACTTTGCACAGTGCCTGGCATACAGTAGGTCACACAATTAATGTCATCAGAATAAGGAAAGACACGTGGGAAATTTGGTGCTACACAAAGGTTGTGTCATTCATTCTGCATTACAATTACTTAATTTTATTTTGTTTTAAAATTCTCATTCTTAGTTACTCTTTAAAGCTTTTTCTTCCTTTAGCCTGTTTGTTGTCTCCTCCCCTCCCCAATAATTCTTTCTTCCCCAACCTGTCATTTTTAGATCTCCTCTTTTAAGTTTTCATGTTCTTTTTTATAATCAGTTACAGCTCTTCCTCCCCTGTCAACCCCTTCCTGCAGCACATACAAAAACAGCTGGGATTTTTTTTTTTAAAACCACCATAACTGTTTGAGGTATGTCCCAGAAAGGAAAATGCTTACATTAGAATATATTTCTCCTACAGATTTTTTTTTTATTTACTTATTTCTGAGAGAGAGAGACAGTGTGAGCAGGGGAGGGTCGGAGAAAGAGGGAGATACAGAATCTGAAACAGGCTCCAGGCCCTGAGCTGGCAGTCAGCACAGACCCCGATGTGGGGCTCAAACCCACAAACTGTGAGATCATGACCTGAGCTGAAGTCAGACACTTAACCGACTAAGCCACCCACGCGCCCCTCCTACAGATTTTTTTTTTAATTTAAATTGATTACCTTTTTGAAAAACAGCCTAGTTCAAGGTGTTTTAAATAACATGACTTTTGTTTTATTGAAATTTATTTTTTAGAGAGATTTCTCATAAATGGAATCCTAAACAAATAGGAGAACACCTTCTGCTGAAATCGTAAGTATCAAAAGTGGCACTAATGTAGAAAATTTCCATTAATTTTTCTAGTGTTAGGAGTGAAAAAAAATCTTAGTGTGGTGAAGAAAATTAGAGCAAGAAGATATTTGTGGGACCAGAACTTCAAAAGGCAAGTAACAGGAATAAATGAAGAATAAAATCCTGAAACACATATATTACCTTTAAAATAAATCTTTCTAATTTGAAAGGCTGAAATCACAACCTGATTTTTCTCTGTGTTCTTAGGAAGTTAGCAAAGGTCTTCAGTTTGTTTAACCCAAATTGCCAGAAAAATTATTATTTTATTATTAAGCAAAGACAAAAATCTGCCTGTAAAGTGATAAGCAAATTCAAACCTTTGCATTATTAAAATGTAGTCCTAAAGTCACTTAGTGATTTTACAACACTGACCATTTTTGTAGATTAGAATTTTACTCTTCACTTTTTAATTTTTTTTGAAGATTGTGAATTGGAAACCCCCCAGCTTGCTGGCTCCCTCTGTGGGACATTCCAGCACATTATTACTTAGGATGTTCCATTCACCTTGAAAACTACTACTTGCCAGGACCTGGCCCCATAGGGTTAGGTAAGTCCCACCTTGATATTATTTCAAATAACTATATTTTGCAGGCTTGCAAAGTTGTAATATTACTATGTCTAAATAGTGATTATAGGAAACAACTTTGCAAAGCTGTACAATATTGTTTTTTAATAATAAAAGGGGACTTTACTCACCTTTGAAGACTGGCTTAGCTCTGCTGGGTGGGCAGTCTGGGAATGGATAATGATAATAGATAGGATGATAGCAGAACAGCTTACTTGTTCAAATGTCACTGAAAAGCCAAACAATGGAATGGATCCCTCATCCTAACTTTTTTTTTTTAATTTTGTTTTTTAATGCTTTATTTATTTCTGAGAGAGAGAGAGAGAGACAGTGTGACCAAGGGAGGGTCAGAGAGAGGGGGAAATACAGAATCTGAAGCAGGCTCCAGGCTCTGAGCTAGCTGTCAGCACAGAGCCCGACGCGGGGCTCAAACCCACAAACTGTGAGATCATGACCTGTGCCGAAGTCAGATGCTTAACTGACTGAGCCACCCAGGCGCCCCACCCTCATCCTAACTTTTAAGTATCAGATTTATAGGCCACATTGGCTATGTGCAGGTAGACAGCAAGGCTACATTAGCTATGTGCAGGTTGGACAGTGAATCATAACCAAGCCCACGTTTTACTGGTTTAAAATAAAATCTGTTTTCTTTGCAGCCTTTCCCTATGTAAAATTTAATACTTAAATTTTCTTTGCCAACTGTTGAATAAGGCGTCTTATGTTACAGGTCTCTGAAGTATCTATAGATATTAATAGTTGAAGTAGATACTAATAGACTTATAGATATTAATAGTTGAAAACCTTAAATATATTCAGGCTTGAATATAAATTAATGTTGACATATTAAAGTTGATATTAAAAATGTAGCGTAAGCATGATGTTTCAGTGTACTGATAAGTTTCTTTTAATTTCTACAGGCTCACTTACATGGTGGCAATGCCTTTTTACTCAGCAAGTCTAATTGAAACAGTACAGGTGAGCTACTCTTCATTGTCTTTTTTTAGTTAAAAAAATTTTTTTGGAATATTCAATATATTATTTATATCAGATTCTGATTGAATACCAGAAGAATTTAAGACAGTAGCCTTTGAAAATTTTTATGTCCCAGATAGTACACGTTTCTCAGAGATTATATTCCAGGCACAAGGTTGGGACAGGTCTTTCCTTTGCAAACTTACTTCACACTTCGATTTTTAATTCTTTTTTATCCCTTCAATAGGCAGCTTACTCTTCATTGAACTATCTCAGAACCCAGGCTATGATTTGCTCTGAATACAAAGAATCTATAGGGGTTGTTTTGTTTTGTTTTTTCAACTTTTTAAGACACTTATGTACAACTCAGATGGTTATGGCTTGTCGCCGGACAGTAAATTGCTAATTACCTGAGCATAAAACATGCTGGAGAATCATCCTAACAGTGAGCAGGTAGCCCCATTTGTAGTCTACTACCCGCATTCTTTTTAAATAAGCCTTTTAAGGAACATTTGATGCCATGACATATTACTACAGAGCTAAAGCAGTCTCCTGTCAGCATTTTACAGCGTTTTACCATTTCTAACCACATGGTGGCGCGTCAAGCCCATTGTATTAATGTACTTTTTTATTTTTGTTTATTTTTTTAATTTAAATTCAACTCAGTTAACATACAGTGTAGTCGTGGCTTTAGGAGTAGAGCCAGTGATTTATCTCTTACATATGACACCCAATGCTCATCCCAGTAAGTGCCTTCCTCAGTGCCCATCACCCATTTAACTCCTCCCCCAACCCACCTCTCCTTTAACAACCCCCAGTTTGTTCTCTGTATTTAAGAGTCTCCTATGGTTTGCCTCCCTCTGTGTTTTTATCTTAGTTTCTTCCCTTCCCCATGTTCATCTGTTTTGTTTCTTAAACTCCACATATTAGTGAAATCATAGATTTATCTTTCTTTGACTGACTTCCCTTAGCATAATATACTCTAGTTCCATCCACGTTGTTGCAAATGGCAAGATTTCATTCTTTTTGATCACCAAGTAATAGTCCATTGCATATATATACCCATATCTTCTTTATCCATTCATCAGTTGATAGACATTTGGCTCTTGTTGATAGTGCTGTTGTAAACATTGTGGTACATGTGCCCCTTCGAATCAGTATTTTGTATCCTTCGGATAAATTCCTATTAGTGCAATTGCTGGGTCATAGGGTAGTTCTATTTTTTAATTCTTTGAGGAATCTCCATACTGTTTTCCAGAGTGGCTGTACCAGTTTGCATTCCCACCAACAGTACAAAAGGGTTCCCCTTTCTCGGCATCCTTGCCAACATCTTTTGTTTCCTGAAGTTGTTCATTTTAGCCATTCTAACAGGTATGAAGTGTTATCTCGTGTGGTTTTGATTTGTATTTCCCTGATGATGAGTGACGTTGAGCATCTTCCCATGTGTCTGTTAGCCATCTGGATATCTTCTTTGGAGAAGTGTCTATTCATGTCTTCTGCCCATTTCTTCACTGGATTATTAGTTTTTTTTGAGTATTAAGCTTGGTAAGTTCTTTATAGATTTTGGATACTCACCCTTAATCTGATATGTCATTTGCACATATCTTCTCCCATTCCATCAGTTGCCTTTTAGTTTTGTTAATTGTTTCCTTTGCTGTGCAGAAGCTTTTTCTCTTGATGAGGTCCCAGTAGTTCATTTTTGCTTTCATTTCCCTTGCCTCCAGAGACATGGCAGGTAAGCAGTTGCTGTGGCCGAAGTCAGAAAGGTTGCTGCCTCTTTTCTCCTCTATGATTTTGATGTTTTCCTGTCTCACATGTGGGTCTTTCATCCATTTTTATTTTTGTATATGGTATAAGTGGCCCAGTTTCATTCTTCATGTCGCTGTCCAGTTTCCCAGCACCATTTGCAAAAGAGACTGTCTTTTTTCCATTGGATATTTTTTCCTGCTTTGTCGAAGATAAGTTGGCCATATGTTTGTGGGTCCATTTCTGGGTTCTCTGTTCTATTCCATTGGTCTCTGTGTCTGTTTTTATGCCAATACTTGGCTTTATGATTACAGCTTTGTAATACAGCTGAAAGTCTGGAATGGTGATGCCTCCAGTTTCAGTTTTCTTTTTCAAGATTGCTTTGGCTATCGGGGTCTTTTGTGATTCCATACAAATTTTAGAATTGTCTGTTCAAGCTCTATGAAGAATACTGGTGTTATTTTGATAGAGATTGCCCTGAATGTGTAGATTGCTTTGGGTAGTATTGACAATTTAACAATATTCTTCCAGTCCATTAGCATGGATTGTTTTTCCATATCTTTGTGTCTTTTTCAATTTCTTTCTTAATCCTTCCATAGTTTTTAGCATACAGATCTTTTACCTCTTTAGTTAGGTTGTTTTTTTTTTTTTTTTTAATGTTTTATTTATTTCTAGGCGAGAGAGAGAGAGAGACAGCGTGAGCAGGGGAGGGTCAGAGAGGGAGGGAGTCACAGACTGACACAGGCTCCAGGCTCTGAGCTGGCAGTCAGCACAGAGCCTGACGCGGGGCCCGAACCCACGAACCGCGAGATCATGACCCAAGCGAAAGTTGGACGCTTAACCGACTAAGCCACCCAGGCGCCCCACCTCTTTAGTTAGGTTTAATCCTAGGTATTTTATGGGTTTTGGTACAATTGTAAATGGGATTTATTCCTTGATATTTCTTTCTACTGCTTCATTATTGGTGTATAGAAATGCAACTGATTTCTGTACATTAATTTCATATCTTGTGACTTTACTGAATTCATATATCAGCTCTAGTAGTTTTTTGGTGGAATCTTTGGGTTTTCCATGTCGAGTATCATGCCATCTGCGAAGAGTGAAAGTTTGACTTCCTCCTGGCCGATTTGGATGCCTTTTATTTCTTTTTCTTGTCTGATTGCTGAGGCTAGGACTTCCAGTACTATGTTGAACAACGGTGATGACAGTGGACATCCCTGTCATGTTCCTGATCTCAGAGGGAAAAGCTCAGTTTATCATCATTGGGGATGATATTAGCTGTGGGCCTTGCATATATGGCTTTTATGATTTTAAGGTATGTTCCTTCTATCTCTACTTACTTGTATCTTGTATACTTTCTTTTTACCAAGAAAGGATGCTCTGTCTTGTCAAATGCTTTTATTGCATCTATTGAAAGGATTGTGTGGTTCTTATCCTTTCTTTTATTAATGTGGTATATAACGTTGATTGATTTGCAAATATTGAACTATCCTTGAGGCCCAAGAATAAATCCCATTTGATCATGGTGAATAATTCTTTTGATGTACTGCTGAATTTGATTGGCTGGTATCTTATTGAGAATTTTTGCATCCAGTTTCATCAGTAACTGGTTTGGTTTTGGAATCAAGGTGATGGTGGCTTCATAGAATGAGTTTGGAAGTTTTCCTTCTCTTTTTATTTTTTTGGAACAGTTGAGGAAAATAGGTATTAAGTCTTCTTTAAATAGCTGGTAGAATTCCCCTGGGAAGCCATCAGGCCCAGGACTCTTATTTTGGGGGAAATTTTTGATAACTGTTTCAATTTCTTTGCTGGTTTTGGGCTTGTTCAAATTTTCTGTTTCTTCTGGTTTGAGTTTTGGTAGTATGTGAGTATCTAGGAATTTGTCCATTTCTTCCAGATCGTCCTGTTTGTTGGCATATAATTTTAAATAGTATTCTCTTTTAATTGTATTTCTGTGGTGTTGATTGTGATCTCACCTTTTTCATTTGTGATTTTATCTATTTGGATCTTCTTATCTTTGTTATTTCCCTTCTTCTGCTGATTTTGAGCTTTATTTGCTGCTCCTTTTCTTGCTTCTTTAGGTGTGATTAGATTATGTATTTGGGACTTTTCTTGCTTCTTGAGATAGGCCTGAATTGCAATGTATATTCCCCTTAGGACTACCTTTGCTGTATCCCAAAGGGTTTGGACAGTCGTGTTTTCATTTTCATTGACTTCCATGTGTTTTTAATTTCTTCTTTAATTTCCTGATTAACCCATTCATTCTATAGTAGGATATTCGTTAACCTCCATGTATTTGAGGCCTTTCCAAATTTTTTCTTGTGGTAATCTTAAGTTTTGTAGTGTTGTGATCTGAAAACTTGCATGATATGATCTAAATCTTTTTGTACTTGTTGAGAGCTGATTTATGACCCTGTATGTGATCTGTTCTGGAGAATGTTCCATGTGTACTTGAGAAGAATGTGTATTCTGTTGCTTTAAGATGAAATGTTCTGAATATATCTGTTAAGTCCATCTGGTCCAGTGTGTCATTCAGAGCCATTGTTTCTTTGTTGATTTCCTGCTTAGATAATCTGTCCATTGCTGTAAGTGGAGAATTAAAGTCTCCTACAATTATGGTATTATTATCAATAAGTTTGCTTATGTTTGTGATTAATTGGTTTATATACTTGGATGTCTCCGAGTTGGGGGCATAAATGTTTACAGTTGTTAGCTCTTCTTGATGATTAGACCCTTAATTGTAATATAATGCCCTTCTTTATCTTTTGTTACAGTCTTTGTTTTAAAATCTAGTTTTTCTGGGGTGCCTGGGTGGTTCTGTTGGTTAAATGTCTGACTTCAGCTCAGGTCATGATCTTGTAGTCTGTGACTTTGAGCCCCGCTTTAAGTAACCTGCTTTGAATTCTCTGTCTCCCTCTCTTTCTGCCCTTCCCCCCCCCCACTCTCTCAGAAATAAATAAATAAATAACCTTTTTTTTTTTTTAAGGGTAAAATACAGTATGTGATAGAAATATGGCTACTTTGGCTTTCTTTTGGTTCTATATTAGCATGATAGATGGTTCTCTTTCTCTTCACTTTCAGTCTGCAGGTTTCCTCAGGTCTGAAATGAGTCTTTTGTAGGCAGCATATAAATGGATCTTCTTTTTTTATCCATTCTGATACCCTTTGTCTTTTGATTGATCCATTTACATTCAGAGTGATTATTGAAAGGTATGAATTTAGTGCCATTGTGTTATCTGTAGATTTCATGTTTATGG